AAACTAATTTATAATCAGGTATGCGCTCAATGAACTAGTTCCAAATTGGTTCGAAATGACTTCTTACGAACGAAGTTATAGGTCTGTGCAGAAATCACAAACCAGTCAGAGCGAATTTCATTGGTTGAAAACAGTCAGAAAACTAGTTTCAACCAATGAAATTCACTCTGACTGGTTTGTGATTTCTGCAGAAAAAGACCTTATAACTCTCGACTGCTTTCAGAGCGCTTCTCTCTGGGCAGCGACGTCACAGATCTCTGCGGGAGCAATTATAATCCAAACGAGGGCATACTATTTAAAATCAATAGCCAAACGTACGTATTTTGATAAGCTTTTTGATCCATCGAATTTGACGGAGCAAGAAAAAGCGCTCCGTGCAAGATTTGAGAGCGTTCTAATGTTTATGTTGAACACGTGAATCACGTCGAGAACAAGGCTTCGTTTCAAGCCGAACGGGTGCATTCGTTCCGGATCACTTTCTGATCTATCGGGTACAGTTTGGAGGCAAGAGCCGAAAGAACTATTAGATTACACTAGTTATTGTGACGCCATTGCTTACAGCTTTACTTTGCTCTTTTTTGACATTACTCCCACAATTTGACGTTTTATTCGTGAATCAAACGTCAAATTATCGAAGCAATGTGGAAAAAGAGCGAATTTCGCGGTTATTAGTACTAGACTTTATTGTTTATAGAATCAGAGACAGAAAGTAAACAAACAAAAAGGATAGCGAGGATCAATCACTTAGTTACTTTTTTTTTAAATGTTGACAGCCCAATGGTAATTTTTTTTTTCTTCTTTTGACAACTATGTTCGCGCACCGCAATATGGCGCCCAAACAAAAGGTCAATTGAACTCAATGAACTATAACCCAAAAACTGTGGAATGCTAACACATAAGGAAGAACGTGAAGCCTAGTGCAGCTGCTGCGGAGGGGATACCTGTTTTTGTCGCACTCATTATTCATTGATTGAACTATAGCTAAAAACTGGAATGCGCACACATTGCCATATCTGCCAAAAAAATGAAGCCATGAAAGACAGATGCCACAAGGGGGAATGTTGTTTTTTTCTGTTGCTCGCTGACATATGACGTTTTCGAAAGTTTTGTCATATTTCCCTTCACAGGTTTCATCTATTGGAATACGTGTTGGAAGCAATTTTCGCCATTTAACATAATGAGTGCGACAAAAACAGGTATCCCCTCCGCAGCAGCCGCACTAGGCGTCAAGTTCGTCCTTATGTGTTAGCATTCCAGTTTTTGGTTATAGTTCATTGGCGTATCCACTTCCGCCATATTGTTACGACACTTCTGTCTGAGATTCTGTCATTTTTGTCATAGCGACGCGTGAAAATTGCATCAGGACCGCATTTTCCATCCGAAGGAAGGATCTCCTGTTTCAGTATGTTGAAGTTTCTGTAGCTACTTTTTCTTTCTTGGTGTAATCTCAATTTTTTTAGGTTTTTAGATAAAAATTATAAAGAATCCATTTAGTTCGGCTCTGTTTAAGTAGCCATATTGTTCCGACACTTAGCCACGCCTACCGATGCCGTTTTCTATTGCACTATTGAAATGATGACAGCGTCTCCTTATTATTCTACCTCAATGACACAGAACAGTTGTATTCCTTTCAAGAGTTTGAAACACTCGAGCTACTCGCTCCGGTGTCCAGTCGCCCCCGATTTGCAGGGAATATATGCGTGGTGCAACAAACACTTTTCGAAAGGAATAGGGGCGTAAAGCCATGGAGCTGTTCCGGAGCTCCTCCTAGGTGTGAAAGGAATACAACTAATGTCAAAGCTGTCAAGCCGCAACAAACGACCGATCCGTTCGCACTTTTTTAAACTAACAACGTACAAGATAAAATAAAAATCCGCAATAAAACATTGTAATTCCATGTATTGTTTAGCATTTTACTGTAACAATTAAACAAATAAAGAGCTTCTCTTGAATTGTTTTTGTGTGGTAGTGTGTGACCTCATTATCTTAAACACTAGTTATTGTGGCGTCATCTTCTAATGAGCTATTAAAAGTCAAAAATAACAGTTGTCATCCATTTGTAATACAGTGACGTTGACATTTGACATCATTCAGCAAAGCTATGTTGAACAATATACAGGGTGTCCCAGCGGAGAGTGACCCATGACCCATTTTAAATGCTTATAACTTTTAAATCAAGTGTGCTAGCTACCTGCGGTTTGCGCCATTAGGCAATTCAAACCACGTGACATTCAAGATGGCGTGGCGGCCACACATTGGCGAAAAAACACAAAAAAATATCTAGTTTCTGCCCGAATTAATAGTTTAGGTACCTAGTCAACAAATATTTTATTAAATAATGAAAATCAAAGTTGTAAGCAAAATAATTTAAAATATGCATAAAAACATATTCAAAACAAACTTGCTTGGCCGCCACGCCACATTGAATTTTCCTTTTTGACAGATGGATTGAATTGCCTAATTCGATTTCTCTCGACCTAAAGTTTTTTTTAGCAGGTTACAAATTTTTCTGCCACTTATACAGGGCGAGTTAAAAAAAATACGTTTTTCAACATCGAAATTCTCCAGTATTTTCAATGGAATACCCTGCGTATCCCAACGTCAAAAAAAGAATCATTTTCAAGGTATCCATGTATCAATAAACATCGTCCTTTAACTTGAAGTTTTAGCCGTAAAAAAATCACAATCGAAATCCTGGTATTTTACATCATCCTTTTTTAGGCAGCTTGTGGGCAATATTCTTGTAAAGTGTACCACCAAATAAATAAACTCAGGCACAGGAATGTTCAAAGAATGTAAAGAAAACAAAAAAAATCTCTAGCGCAGCCCTATTCCACTCTATCTGCACTGCATGCACTGCACTACTCCATCTGTTCTACTCTATCTGCACTACTCTATCTGATCTACTCTTTCTGCACCACTCTATCTGATCGGCATAGTGGAATAGTTCTGCTCGAAATAGCTCCAGTGAGCAGCATTGTTCTACTGTATCTGCAATGCCGAGCTTCGTTCCAGGTATCAGAGATGGCGCGGTATACAAAATACAAAATAAACTTGGTATCGGTTATAAGAGATGGTGCAGTATGCGGGCTTAGTAAATTTTTTTCATAAATAAATAAAATAAGTAATGAAATGACCACATTAATGACATAACAACATGCTGGTACTGTCAACGCTGAAAAAAGTTTCAATTTGACAGCAAAATCCCTATTAGGCAATTCAAACCACGTGACATTCAAGATGGCGTGGCAACCACACATGCCCGACTTAATAGTTTACGTACCTAGTAAACAAATATTTTATTGAATAACCAAAATCAAAGCTGCAAGCAAAGCTCGAAGCAAAATAATTAAAATATACATGAAAATACATATTCAAAACAAACTTGCTGGCCGCCACGTCATATTGAATTTTTCGTTTTGACAGATTGATTGAATTGCCTAATTAACAAAATGATTTTCCATTTATTGAATAATTAATTTATTACAAAAAATGTGATAAATGAAGAACCGCTCGACCGATTTTGTGCAAACTTCACATAAATCATCTAATAAATAGTCCGAACAAAGCCTAAACATTTGGTTTGGCTAGGTGAGCCCGTTCTTGAGTTATAAAATTACAACGAAAAATGGAATTAATTTTTATATATATAGATTTCATGATTAAATTTTCTGTCAAGTTCCCTATTGTGGATAATAGTTATTTTTCCTACGAGCTTCATATCAGGTAGGAGAAAGTTTGTAGATTCTTGATATAGATAGAGAACAAATCTGACAATGTGTCAAAGTTAATTATATTCGGTGTTCGTATAGATGTTGGCTGATATGTATAGAAACAGAGGAAAAATTTGTCATCATGTGTCAAAGTCGACAGGTACACTTATTGTTGCTTGACAATTATTTTTACTTTTCGGCACTCAGTGCGGATAAGGCCTGTATCCGCACTGAGTGCGGAAAAGTGTAACTTTGAGTACCGAAATGCGTGCGGAAAAGTACTACTTTGCGCACGCTCGTAGGAAAAAGAAATTTCCCAACATATCAGTGCATACAGTTCTTGTTATGATTAGTTCATTAATGAAAAATGGTCCATATTTTTTCTCAACAGAGATTGCACACCAAACTGCTACTTTTGGATTTCATGATTAAATTTTCTGTCAAGTTCCCTATTGTGGATAATAGTTATTTTTCCTACGAGCTTCATATCAGGTAGGAGAAAGTTTGTAGATTCTTGATATAGATAGAGAACAAATCTGACAATGTGTCAAAGTTAATTATATTCGGTGTTCGTAGAGATGTTGGCTGATATGTATAGAAACAGAGGAAAAATTTGTCATCATGTGTCAAAGTCGACAGGTACACTTATTGTTGCTTGACAATTATTTTTACTTTTCGGCACTCAGTGCGGATAAGGCCTGTATCCGCACTGAGTGCGGAAAAGTGTAACTTTGAGTACCGAAATGCGTGCGGAAAAGTACTACTTTGCGCACGCTCGTAGGAAAAAGAAATTTCCCAACATATCAGTGCATACAGTTCTTGTTATGATTTGAAAATGAAAAATGGTCCATATTTTTTCTCAACAGAGATTGCACACCAAACTGCTACTTTTGGGGTATCTCGCTATTCTTACTGGAACTCGTTAATATAAGGTCTGCGCTAACTCGGACAAAAAATACGTTTTCTCGGGGAGCTCTGCTCCCTGACCCCAGCTCTGGGTTAAAATAAAGCTATAGTGATTTCGATACGTTGATCTAAATTCCTCCCACGTCATTCCTAAGAATTACTTATTCGACCGAAGTTGACGCGATTTCCTTGATTGTTGGGGTCAACCATAAAGGGTCAACCGTTGAGTTGTTAACCAATGGGGTCAACGTATGTCATGCCATAATCAACAGCCGTCTCTGGCCAGTGGCTGATGACTGTTTGGTAACGGAAATTGTCACTTGTCACATTTAAATTCAAATTTTAAACAAGTTTTTTTTTTTTCTTCAAAGGACTCCTAAAATGCATTGTAAAGTACGTATGCTCAAACTCATTGATTGTTTCCATTAATTTACTCGATTCGCAGGTCCTAAAACTGGGAGACGTATGGAGGACGTGCAACAAAATCCGAGCGGCGATTTTCCGCATGGGCATAAATCTTTTGGAATACTTTACGAGACTCGATCCGCACAAAAATTGCCTCATATCAGGTTAACAAACGAGTAATTATTTTTCTAGTAATTTTATTTGGATTTTATAGAGTCGCAATTTATTTCGGTGATCCACGGTCAGTTGGGTGCCACTATTGGCTTATCGGAACAAGAAGTTGCCGAATTAGCTGATTATTTTCGCGTTCCAGATGGAAGGATTTATTATACGCAATTGTGCGATGTTATTAATGATAGCGGTAAAAAGAAACTTTCAAAGTATTGTCTGGACAGTAGATCTGAAGCTACTAAGGAAGGAATTCAAATGAATATGTTCAATTTTGCTTTAGATTCATTGGCCAGACAATACAAATGCAAAACTTCAAAAATTTTCGGTTTTAGTGCCTAAATTCAGCCAGAACGATTCAATTGTAACTGGTTTGGAATGGGAGGACCCTCTACACACCAACAGGCTCAGTATTTCCGAAGAAAGACGTCTAAATGTTCTCATAACGAAAATCGCTTCGTTGGTTAATATGAAAAAACTCATTCTACGGCCTTATTTTCAAGATTATGAGCTGGTAATAGGATCATTTATTGTTTTTTTAAGCCCCCCTTCTTTTATTCTTTATGTCTCGCCATCTCCGTTGCTTTGCGTTATTATAGTTCGACAGATAACACCGTTACCGCAGTGACGCCATTACAGATCTTAGAATTAAATAAATGCATGAACCGAAATTTTAGAGGAGTAAAATAAATAATAATTCAACACGGTTTATGGTTTATTTCTAAAAACTCGGATTTTAAAAAATTTACTCATTACTGCGCGCAGTTTACTCATTAATGAGCTAATCATCAAGTATGATACTGACTCGAATACGAGTAAATTGCCTGATTATTAACTCTATGGTGAACAACCCAATCCTATTGGAATCTTTATGAAAAGTATTCGATTAAATTATTCTTGTAGGTATCAAAAAACTGTGGAACCGTTACAATAGCTCATTTCGCCCGAATTATGGCCTATTTGGGCATCCTCTTATCAGCAGATGATTTCAATTTGCTGGTCAAGAAATACCTAAAAGACAGCTACACTTTGAATTATATAGCGTTTTTGAAAGCTATAGATGAAATTATCCAGTATCTCGATGCGCATGGGATATTGGATTTGAGCGGAGTAACTACCTATTGAAAATAATTCATTACAAATTACTATACTTAGTTACTTTATAGGATATTATGGCAATTTTTCCTGGCAGAGTCATAAACGCTGAACTACCGAAACTACCCAGACCGGAAATCGGCAAAATAATGGCCTCGAGAATCTTCGGAATACAAAACATCTTCCACCCGGCATTGGAAGACCCCAAAAAAATCGAGCACATTCTAACAACCATTTCGATGATCCAAGAGCACGTGCTGAGAAACAGGTTGCGCGTAAGCACCTTTTTCAAGCACTTTGATCTACTGAATTCTGGAAGGATCACTGTGGATCAATTTCATCGCGGCTTGGATGCGCTGGCTCTTAATGGCAAACAAAGATTTTTCTTGTCACTGCCTGATGTTCAAGCTATAATTAATCAGTATCGGGATCCTTGCGATCCTAAACGAGTTTGCTGGAAGACTTTCGAAGATGATATTGATCATATTTTTACAACAAAAGTAACTAAATATTATTTTTTTTTTGGGCAATACATAATTTTTATACTTATAGGAATTGGAAAAATATCCTAGCATGGAAGTGACAACGCACAAAAGAGACAACGAAGAAGTTCCAAAAGTAGGCAGTGTCAATTGGCAAAGTGTTAATAAGGAACAAAGAAGCTTGTGCGAAGATGCCGTCTATAAAGTTAAACAAAAAATTATCCATAGGAGGATTTTGTTGAAGCCGATGTTCAAAGATTTCGACAAGTGATTGTGTATCAAAAAAAAAAAAACATTAATTATTTTACAATTCTATAAATTCTAGGCATAACAATGGCCATGTTAGTCGCAGTCAAATGAGACAAGCCTTAAATTCCAACGGAATTCTGCTATCTGACGAAGAACTATTTTCTCTAGAACAAAGATTCAAAAACGATATTGGTTTCAATTACGTTTGGTTTTTGAAGGAAGTGGAACCTAAACCTGACGATGATCCACTTGTAAATGATTATTGTCTTAAGTTTTCTTATTTAATTGTTTTCTCAATATATAGTATATGGATTTTGTTGAAGACATGAAACGCCTAAACGCGGAACCTGCCAAACGACCGGCCACCAGACAAGAGAAAGATATTCTTCAGATTTTGGCTAAAATTAAAGGGAGAGTTGTAAGGGAAAGGATTCGGGTTTTGGATTTTATGAAAGATTTTGACAGGTAAGATAAGGAAATTGTGCCAAATGAGTCAAAATAGCCTTTTATTATGTGTAGAGAATAATCTAGAATTCCTTATTATTCGTAAGCAATAATATTTGAACGTTTCAGACTCTTCCAACTTCTCTCTAATGTTTTATTGAATGTTGATAATTCTTAGGAAGTAACTGTTGTTGCGTTCCAGAAACTATTACGACGTAAGTATTTATTTTTGTTCTATATGTAGTGGCACGGAAATGAACCGCCAAGAAAACAATTAAAGGTTCTGATTATTCTAAACAACTGAAAACCTAGGATCCAACTACCGAAAATTAATCAAGAATAACAAGGACTTACCAAACAACCATACCAGGAGAGATCATCACTTAGACAGCACAACCAGAAACTTCAATTAAAAATTATCTGAACATCGATATCCAGAAATTATTGAAAGCCGATAATGATTAATTCTTTGGAATGTGACTAAAGTAAAAGTTCATGGACTTTTTTTAAGTGCTTTCAATAAATAACATTCCAAAGGAGCTGAAAAATTTCTAAAAGGATCAATAAATCATGCACGAGCCTATATGATGATACCCACTTAACAAACCACTTAGCGACGCCCTTAATAATTAATTAAAAGGGGACCAAATACACTAGTTGATCGAATGATTCAACCACGAAAAATCGAGGTCAGAAACAATAAAGAAATTCAAGAATGGACGGACCAATGATATAAAAAGGCAACTTTGGCAGGAGAAAATCAGTGTTCGTAAAAAACCAGTGTCGGTTGAGTAATCAAGAAACAAGTAGTAATCGAGAATCGAGAGACCTGTGTCCAGAAAGTCAGAACTACGGCGTGAAATAGTTGTCGAATTAACCGAGAAAAGAAGCACGACGTGAAATAACAGCGAGTTATCAATACGTAGGCCGATAACAAGTTTTTAAAAAACAATTTATTCACTAAATTACAATAGAGAAATACTTTCGCGTTCGCGTTACAAAGTTTCAAATAAGAAATATAATTACAATTCAACTGACTAACTATTCTAGGCGGGCAGCGATATTTATAATAAAGAAAAGCGAATTAAGCAGTTTATATGAATGGTCAGCAAATAGAGCTGACATTACTCCTCCCTTCTTAAGATACAACTTCATGCTAAGCGAGGAAGTTGGATTGGTCGGGCTTCTTCTTCGGGGTGGTTGTCCCCTCTTCGTTTCTTCAGCTTCGGTGCTAGTTTCTTATAGCCAAGAACAGCACACCCAGCAAGGATCATAGCTGTGACGGAACTAGCTATTACCCTTTTGTGGACTCTAGTCATTACCGCACCAGGGATGTCAAAAGTTTTTACTTTGACTGACTGTAAAAATTAACCATTAGGTGTTGGATCATTTAAGCCTTGTATTGAACTAGGGGTGCCTTGATTCTCATTTATACAAATAAAACGATGAAATAGAATAGTTATCAATTTAATTAATAAATGAAGTTAATTCGGTTTAATCAGCAATCAAATCCTATCTAATAATTCCTATTTGGACGTCCAGTCGAACTACAAATTTTATACTAATCTAAAGTAAATAAGCGAGTAAATAAGTATCTTGATTTATAAAAAATAGTGAAATTTCATAATAATAATATCAATTATGGTTAAATGTTCAATGAACGAGAACACAAATTAACTAATTAGGTTTACGAGAGCACAACACAAATAATTCGTGAACTTCAATCAGCTCACTGTATTCACAAAATGTTTATAATCCTTGAAAGTTCTTTTGTTTATTGAGAGTTAATAATTTGAGCACTTTTCTGCTGAAGTGTGTAAACAATAAGTGCAAGAAAAGTCTATATATATATGCTCAGTTTCCATATACAAATTTACAAATTAATGTTCATTTCACGAGTGTGAAAACCAAATTTCTGTATTAAAGGTTAGAACAAACACTTCAATTTATAATGCATTTCAACCTAATCAGTATTCAGTATTTATTAATTTATTGTTCGACTGTTTTGAGAAATTGAAACGGTCTTACTTGCTTAATCCAGTTCATACCGGTAAATCCATATAGTGATTATTTATCCATTTATCACTATTCGTAGTAATTTGCACTGACAGCTAAGGGATTTTCCACTAAGAGAGAGAACACAATGATATACAGAGTTGAAGCGCGTCGAGAGTGAGACAGGAATAACCTTAAACAGGCGTAGTAGAGAATTTTGCTAGGTCCGAGATGACTTGCAACAATTTAGGGGTTAATTACATGAATTGTAATCAATAATATCGTTGATAATATAGACCATGTCAGGCCTTGAGACACTGGGAGTAGTATTTTACTATAATTCGCGTACTAACGGGGGTTTTCTGGGGGATTTTTCCTCTGTAGAGCGTTTAGAGGCGAGAGGGTGCAGAGTCTTTGCTTACTCTTCTGCTTCTTGATTACTACTGTTGTGTACCGTGCCGTGCGTCGAGTCGACTGCCTTTTTTCGGAGCAGGTCGCATAAATCAGGGATGTTGGGTGGCAACTGACCAATCACAACAACAAAATAGATCCATTGCTCATAGGGTAATGAAGAAACCTGTAATTTTACCTATTCAAAAGGGCTGCTGTTGCCAGTTTTACAGGAATCTTTTTTTAGAATATTATTTTTATGATAAATAATAGAAATTGAGATTATATTGATAAACTACAAATAATAACATTTTAAACTTGTTGTGGGTTATTTCCGCAACAATAGCATATATCAGAATGGTTCCCAAACTTGGTAGTCTTCTGATTTCACTAAACGTCAAACGGTTTTCTACCATCTCATTAGCTAGTTGGTGGAGATTGTCCAGTTTTATGGTTTTTAAGTGTGTACCTAAATTCAGGGAATGCATTAATTCAGGTACATTTGGAAGGTCAGGAAATAGTATAGGTTGTGCATCTGATTTCAGAGGCTTCTTTTCGTTGATAATCAGTCTCGAAGAGATAGTTATTTGGCAACTGGTTGGTATACGAACTAGAAAGGTTCCAATAACTTTTCTGATTTCTTCTTGTCCAAAGCACTTGAATTTGATAGGTACTTTAGCCGGAAGTACAAATACCCATTGATTGGATTTGTCCAATCGATTGATTATTGGTTGTGTGATTTTGACTTCAGTTGGCTTGCAAGTAGAAGTGTCTTTTTCGGAGTTCAGTAGCTTTACTTCACATGGACTGCTGTCTTGGAGTTCGTGGAGTTCTTCTTTTTCGCATAGGTGGAATTCAGGAAGGATTTCCTGGCATTCTTGGCCATAATGTGCGTAGTGCAATCCGTTTTTGAGAAGATATTTATTTTGTGGAAGGACTACCTTAAACTGACTCTGACTTTTGATTGGTATTGAATATAGGTGGAAATAATCGAAAGATTCAGGATACATTATAGGTATATGGACCAAATAAGTTATTTTATTGTTAAGAATAAATGATTCTAATTTGATGATTTTTTCATACAAAAGAATGTTCTCAACATTAACTGCTAAAGGCATTTGTTCATTACTTAGTTGTTTTTGTAATTTGATAAGTTCTGTACAGAGATCTTCAGTTCTCATTATGCTAGGATGCATAATTTTTAACTTGGAAAAAGTTAAAGAGTTTTCGACATCTTGTAATATTGAATCTATTATTTCATAGACATTAATAATTTGATTAATTATGTCCTTAATATAAAGAGAATTTTCTCTATAAGCAGATTTCTCTACTATGTGTGCGATTTGATTGATTTTTGATTCTAAGAGTTTCTCATTATAATTTATTTGTTTTATCGTCGTATTGAATTTTTCAATAACAGTTAAAGAAAGTGAATTTTGTTTCAAAATATTTGCTTGCAAATTCTTTTGATTTCCTTGCAATTCCCTTATAAGATTTTCATAACGTTCGCCATCATCAGCGTCGAGGTTTCCGGTCACGGATTTGAAAATTGACCCTAGGCCGTTAATCAAGCCTCTCTTTGTTCTTTGTGGCTGGGGAATTATTTCTTTAATTTTGTTATCTACTCTAATTTGTATTAGTTGAATTAATTTGATATAATTACTAATATCTTCAGAATACTCGTTGTGTCCATTAAGCATGTTAGTGATATTATTGGATTTAGAGTGTAGTTTGTTAATTTCGATAAGTATGGGATTTAGGTCATAGTAGTGTATCAATGTGTAGGTGTAGTCTCTAATTTTTGCATTTCCAAGTTTCACTGGGATAATTCCAGGATTATCGTCTAATTTTCTTATGGAGATTTGCTCTTGGTTTCCTAATGCGTGGGTTATAAAGCTGAAATAAAGATTAGTAAGCGTAAGCGTGAGGTTATCATATTCATATTTATTAGTACCAATATTATTATACTTATTAAAATTAACTTAAGTATCGAAACTATATTTGTTTCTTAGAGGACGTTTAATATTGTCCATATGCACTTTGCCTAGAGTGTCCGTTGTTATTGTTTTCCGTGTGAGGTCAACGGTCTCTATTTGTGTGGCTGGTCGAAATTTGTCTCCTAATTTTTGGCGTGTATGTTTCTTTACATATATTTTCTGTTCTGGTCTAAATAATGTTGGCTTATCACGATTTTCATTGATTTTGCCAATTATTTTATTTTTTGTATCCATAAGACGTTCATTTATGTTGGAATACAAGAGTTTTGTTTTATTTTTGTGCTCGTTGACGTAATCTGTAATTAGGAGTTGATCTAACTTAAGATCGAATGGGTCATTGGGACTTATGTGTCCTGTGATTATGTCAATGGGCTTGTGTTTGGTTACAGAGTGGATCGTATGATTGTATGCTAAGATTGCATATTTAATTTTTTGGGTAATTGGCGTTTTTAGGAATCCTTGATTGTTGAAAATTCTTATGTGTTCAGATAAGGTTGAGTGGAGCCTCTCTATTACGCCATTAGATTGGGGATGTTCAGGAGAACAAAAATGTATTTTTACTTTGTGAAGTTGGAGTAGTTCAGTAAGAACAGTATTCTTGAACTCAGTTCCATTGTCTGTGATTATCTTTGATGGAAT